AACCTCTCCCTAATGACGCGTTTTAAAACCGTGAGGTTGATGACGATACGTAACGGGCCAAAACGAACAATATTTGCTAGCAATGGGTTTGGGCTGTTACAAAATCTCACATTGGTTGTGATGTGAGATTCCACATCTTCAACCAATGTAAGATCCCACATCGGTTGGAGAGGGAAACATCGACTAGAGAGGGGAACAAAGCATTTCTTATAAGGGTGTGGAAACCTCTCCCTAACATATACATTTAAAACCGTGAGGTTGATGGCGATACGTAACGGGCCAAAACGGACAATATTTCGTAGCGGTGGGATTGGGCTGTTACAAAATAAATACTATTACATCTTTATTTTATCTCTAACACCATATATGCTGTTTGTTCAGTGGACTAATTATCTGAATCCTGAGAACATCAAAGGCTTATCAGCTCTCACAATGTTTCTTGCCCTGATCGGAAACGGTCTTGTACTCCCACGTGCGCTATTCATTCGAGACTTCATGTGGTAATCTTATTTCCCCGAATCAGAACTTTCACGTCTGTTTAGTCGTGTCTATTTCGTTCCTTTTCGTTAAGTGTTGGGAAACATGATCTTCACTTAGAGTACAAATGTATAGTGTCTCTTCCCAAAAGTAAACATCCTTCTTGCATATTATGAAAACGGGTCGATCGATACAAATAATCTTCCATTTTTTGGCCCTATGGTGCACAACCAGGACAATTGCAGAGTATATAACATTGTAACCAGCCTTGATAATGATCATTTGAACGGAAATTGCAGGTTTTTGGGTTCGGGTTGGGCGATGTTGTTCTACGGATATGGTAACATAGTATGCTTGTACTGGTAAGCTGCTGATCATTTTGATACATCTGCATTTTTTCTTACCTTAGCAGTAGTTGAGTGAGTGTGCTTATGGTTCCTACAACAGTTGCAATGGCGTGAGCAGGGAGTTCTTCATTGCTGCAACTGCTTGCCTATTCTCCTGGATAGGTTCCCTTCTTATCCCTATTCATTTTTCCCTTCTATATACTTCAGAAATGGTACGTGAGGTGTATACTGCATAGCTAAAAAGACGCCTAGTAGAAACATGATTGATATTAAACGACCTCTAGATATCTGATCAAACAAACTAATGGCACGAAGTAGTAAGCGAGAAGCATGAACGTTGCCTAATGACACTTCTACATATCTAATGTTGCTTAATCCTATAGGCTTTTTCTTCTGGAGAGACTCTGTGGTGTATGGATTCTGCTCACCTCTAACATCTCTTAAGGAGCTACTTTTTGGGTAATGACTGCCAAATTCGAGCTCGAATTTAAGCGCGATTTCGACACATGGTAGCAACTTCTGAAGCTAGACAGAGTTTTGAACAGGGAAAACAGCAATCTAAGCTACTTTTTTGTTTCTCCATAGCTCTTTGATTTTTTTTGGGTACATATTATGGTTTGAAATAAATATACACAGCTTTGTTGTATATTACAATAAGGGCCAAATTATGTGGCCTATTAGAATCACTCTTTATTGTCAAAATGTACTTTTAAAGTTTGTAGTAATTTACACCAAGTATGGTATAAATGAGATGTTCAAGTATTCCCAATGTATTAGGATCCTTATGAAATGGCCTCCAACTTACAAATGATCACAATCTCCATACATAAAATTTGGATCATGGGACAAAAATTCAATAATAGTAAGAAGAAAAAGATTAAGAGACACTTTTTGATCCGCTCTTTCATCGAAATTTTTTAATAATTTAGTTTATGAACTTTAGTAATAACAATTGAGCTCTCATTGATTTAGTTTAGTGGATTCTAAATAGTCTTTCTCTCAAATTCTTAGAGGATTTTCTTTTAAGAGACTCCTACGAGTTTTGGCTCTGGGTAGCTAGGAAAATATGGTTGAGGGAGTTCTAGATAGCGCGGAGGAAGTTTCATCTCCTTGCCTGTTTTATTTTAATTCTTAATAAAATCAAAGTAAAATTCAATGTTGTGCGTGAATGAATAATTCATTCCCTTCCTACTTTCCTTAAGTGTTGATTTCGGGACTTCGACCAATAAGATACCACCTAGTTTATAGATGAATCTTAAATAATTATCATTGGAAAACCAATGGTATAAGTTATGAGATGAATGAATTTTACCTAATTTGTAGTTGATCATATATAATTGTTCCTTAGAAGATCAATGATGCTAAGTTATAAGATGTAATATTATAATGGTAAAAACATACTTTTAATCCAATTGTAGTTATAAACAACTCGTGAATGATCAACTTGTTTGTGATTTCTACCGTGTATATGAGTACAACCCTAGGTCTTTAGTAAAGTGACCTAAGTAGTTAAATGAATGGAAATTGGTTAATTAAAAAGTTTATAGTTAATTAATTTTATATGATTGTGACTGGTAATCGGTAGGCCCGTAAAATCTATTTGTTGTTTATTGTAGAGAGACGATTTAGTTGAAAGAAAAAATGAAACTATTTAAATTAATACTTATAAAAGTTAAATATAGAAGGAAGAGAAATATATATATATATATATATAATATTTGATAAAAATGATTAATATATATTTGTAACTGCAATTAAAAAAAATAAAATAAAACAAAATAAGTTGATTAATTTTTTTAAAAAGACAAAATAATATTAAATTAATTTCCTATCTCAAAATTTATCCACCATTTATAATTATTAGGATACAATCTTACATAAAATATATTAAAAGTTCACAAAAACCCTAAATCAATCCATAATTATTCACAAAAAAAAAAATCAATAAAAAACGAGCAAAAAATGGTAACATATTAATGTGGTTCGAACGAAAATTGTAGCATATTAACATAGTTCAATATTGTCATAAAATTAAAGACCGCTAAATACCGATATTTCTTGAAAATAGGTTAAGTAAGAAAAATATAAAGATATGTTATGAAATTAAATAACCATAAAAATGATTAGTTTAAAAATGTTGTATAAAAAATATATATATTTTTTTAAATTAATATATGTTTAGTGACCTTGCAACAAATAGAAAATACATTATAATTTAGAATGAATTAGTCTTAGTTTAATAACAAAATCTTTAAATATGTTTAAACTGTGATCCAATTGTGTGTTGGTCAAAACATTTCAATTTTTAAACGAAAACTAAAATTATATATATATATATATAATTTATGAACTAACATTTTTAAAATCATAATTAATAGAATTTGGGCATGAGTCTTTTAGACAGGCCATAGTACCACTTTGACAAACTCATTATAAGGAAGGATTCTTAATATATGTTATATATTTGAATTTGGCTCGGGTTAATCCGAGGGTTTTGCCCACGAACTCGAAACCGAACTGATTCAATTTGGGTTCAAAAAAATGAACTCAACCCTACCCAAAATGTTAATCCAACCCAACCCAAACTTGTAGGTTGGGTTGGGTTGGTCCAGATTATCGGGTTGTCGGATGAATATACACCCCTAGAACAGATGTGATTTGAAGAGGTCGTTAAAGTGCCTGAAATTTTCGTGTGTTGTATTAAAAATTAATTATATATGAAAAATCATCTACCTGTTCTACCCAATCCAATTAATATAACTCAAGATTGGGCTTGATGTGAATTTGGACAGATACATTTACATATGGTAGATGTAGAGGAGAATTTAAATATAACAAACATATATTTTTATTTATGTAAATAATTTTCAAATATATTACAAAATCATAGTTCTCTAATAAATTATATGTTAGTAGACATAGTATTCGTTAAATATATTTATATTCCAAAAAACATTAAATGAAAGATAAATTTTTTTGTTAAATACTTGATAAAATTTAGAAACGTATGATTTAAAGTCTAAAATGAATTATTTAGACGGATTATAAATATGAATTTCTAGAATAATCAAATTTTAAATACGAAATAATAAACTTGATTTACGAAAAAAAAAAAAAAAGATAGAGGAGATATGTAGAAATATTTTTTTTATTCTTAGTAATTGGACCATAAGGTGGTTGATTATTACCGTCATTTTGTTTTAATTGATATTATCAAGATGATGTATCTGAGGTTGAATTGAACTTTGAGGAGTAGATTCAAGTCGGTACCAAGAATAAATAGTAACTCCGGCTTAGGTCAACCAAGTAAGTAGCTTTCCTATTGGTTGGTCGGAAGAATTGTATGATGTATGATGATTCATGCCCGTAACTCTTGCATGTGTCATAATGTCATGCTATACTTATGTATGTTATGTGGTGACCTACGACACCATGTTATGTATGTACATGATTATACTACACTATGGTGATGAAAGGTGAAAGTCATGATTATACTACACTATGATGATGAAAGGTAAAAGTCATGATGAGTACTATGCATACATGTCTCATATGTGTACTATAACATGAACGAAGGGAAGAACGAAATGATTCTTATTATATGTTATGATTTTAAACTAGGGGAATCTCATGTATTTTATGTATGTCATTTGCATCAAGATACTAGCCCATTGTGTTATGTTATTACGGACACATACTTTTGATATTTATGTTCATCATGGTATCATGCGAGTCTTTCCCTTCTACGGTATCCAACGACGCATTAGCGTATTTAGCCCGATCAAGCCAGATCCAAGGTTACATATACAAACCCATTTGGTAGGTCCATATTGTGAGAAAGTACCACACATTCAATCCTGTCCCGTACCGAAAAGAGCTCAAGGTCATATTATATTGTTTTAAAAGATAGATCTCATCATGTATGCGTGTGTTTCCATTACCTAGTCCAACGGGATCATTCACTACTTTCACATTTCAAGTAAAGATAAGACATCGCTATGTGAAAATCATAAAACCGGGGTTACCGTAGTTACATTTGATTGTATTGTTTTCTAGTTTTTAAACATATGGTTTATTTTTGTTTCTTACATTTGGCCTCGTTTATGAACTATTTAAAATGAAATTGAGATTTGAAAATGCTTATGAGCTTAAAAATAAAAAATTTAAAACAAAATAGTTATAAAATGGAATATAAATAATGGAATATAATATGTATATTCAAATTCACTGACCATGCTAACCATTCTTCCATTGTGCTACTGCTGCTTTTTGGAGTCTTTATCTCTACCTTTGGCTTTGACATCATCAGGGATGCACCATGAACATGACAATGGCAGAAGAGTGCAGACTGCCTGTATTATTAGACCATTAGGGAGCCCAGAAAACTCATTTGCTGTGACGCCAACATAAGACGCAAGCGCTACACCGAGACATCCGCTCACTATGAACGCGAGGGCGATGGCTGACATTACAAAAGCCATGAGAGAGCCCTCACATCCTGGTGGGCAAAGCTGAGCTATCAGAACACTGAATGGCAAGATCTTGAAGAATAACAGAACCTCTGAAAGACCAGAGAACAAAACAACATATACGAAGTCTGGCATGCCCATTTCTCGATACACTCCCTTCACGAACAGCATGTCCGAGATCATGAACACCGCCATCAAAACCTGGATACTTGATATAAGTTTCCTAGACGGGATCGACTTCAGATGACGATTGTAAATTACACCCCATAACAGCAGGGCTGCTTGGCCAATAACTTTAGAGATGCCCAAAACAGATGACTCAATTTTCAAATTCTCTGTCTGATAAAAAAACATGGTGCCAGTCAGTGCAGGTATTATGCTGTAAGATGCAGCAAACCATGTTATGGAATACACAATTTCGGGTCTTTTTAGCACGACGAAAAGTTGTGAGAGCTGTTTCTTGATACCAGCACTGGTTGAGCTCTGAGGGAGATTAAGAGAGCGTTCGCGAACGATGATGGTTAATAAAAACTGAAGCAAAAGAAGAAGACCAAAGAACAGGAACATTTCTTGAGGCGAAAACCTATCGATACCGATGCCTCCGAGAAGATTTCCAAGAATCCCACCAGCAGAGGATGCTACCCAAACAAATGCTTGTAGCTCACCTGATGAAGAAGCTCGAGAATTCTTGGAAGAAGTGGGCTGCTTTCCTGCCTCTGCAACGATGGCATCGTTAGCGACCTCCGCTATTGAAGCACCGAGGTTGCTAAGGAGAAGATATATGCTGATCGTGAAAACTGAAATACTTGAGGGTGACATAGTTGCTATGGGTATCCATGATACTGCTTGTAGGAGAGCTGCATCAACATAAAGCATAAGAGGAATAATTTTTTAAAAAAAAATTGACAATAAAATGAGTCTCAAGTAAATTATCAGACAAATGAAAGGATGGAAATAATTGATAAACGATTTGACCAATTCACATTTATAACTCATGATAAATACTTGGCGCATAGCTTCCTAAAACTCCAGCACATAAACTAATGCTTTAAGTGCAATCCAATCATCTTTTAATTACCAAACCTGTACCAATTCAGTATGTATCAGTGGTAATACCAATTCAATTCTCCAAAAACTTACATAATCAGAAATCATGTAGGAAAGCTTAGACAAATTTATTGTAGCTAGCAGATATTGTCCTTTTTAGACTCCCCTTGTGGACTTCCTCACAAGGATTTTTACAATCCATCTGCAGAGAGAGGTTTCAACACCCTTATAAAAGGGAGAGGTTTCAACACCCTTATAAAGAATATTTCGTTCTCCTCCCCAATAGATGTGGGATCTCACAATCCACCTTCTTCTGGGCCCAACGTCGTCCTGCTGACACTTGTTCCCTTCTCCAACCAATGTGGGACCTCCTACTCCATCTTCCTTCGGGGCCCAGCGTCCTTGCTGGCACAACGCCTCGTGTCCATCCCCTTTTGGTGCTTAACCTCCTCGCTGGCACATCGCCCGATTTCTGATTCTGATACCATTTGTAACGGTCCAAATCCACTTCAGTTCACAGTTCTTACAAGCTGCTTTCCAAGATACTGAAAGAAAGCTGCCTTCTATTCTCTCTGTACCAGACCTTGCTTATCCAAAAAAGGTAGCATTTGTCTAATAATATTATTTTGTAAATGAATTTGGTCAAAAATCATTTTGCCTATGCCAAAAGGCAGCTCCCATTTGAGATTAGATTAGCATAAAAGTGCTTTGAAAAAACGTCAAAACTACCTCAAGGAGGAACTTGAAAACAAATGCTTAGTGATTTTAGCCCAAATGCTTGACCAAGAAACACTTGGTTAATTGGTTATCTCCCATGCTAACCTTAATGCAAGTTCAACAACACATGAATCTGACCTCTTGGTCTCTCGGTCGAGGGCATATGCCCAAACCAGTTAGCAATGCAAATCGTTTGTAGGATCTTATTCAGGTTGTATAACAGATTAAAGCATACATTTTACAATTATGGAACCAATAACGTTGGCATCGTTTGCATATCACACACTCACAGAATTTCCCTGCCTATAATGAAATATAAATCTCAAAGATTGTAATGCTTATTAAGATTTCTGTTTCATTACAGAATGATGCTATCTGGTCATTTGAATATAATTTACAACATAGCATTAGTTCAGAACATAGACAGAAAAATTAGTGAATGAAGAAAGGCCTCAGAACTTGTAACCATCTCAGCAGTGTTCTTTCATCAAAATTCCCTAAAATTCAATGCGTGATCCGAAATTGATTTCAAAAGAACACCAGAATTCAACTTGTTTCATAAACATATTCCAGAATTTCGAAAACAACAAGTAAACTTAATAACACAATCGAAATACAAAACAGAAAAAAAGGCGAAATCCAGGAGATTCAAGCAATACAAAGGAAGTTTACCCCCAATGGCGATGTAAGGGATCCGATGTTGGCCGGAAATATAAACGGCGTCAGAGAGAATCCCGTACAGAGGCTTCGCGACCATAGGAAGATTAGCGGAGTTTTGAAGAAGCTGAAGAGTAGAAGGATCTACATTGAGGCCGTCCTTGAGGAAGAAGTTAACCGCCATCCATGGGAAGCAACGGAAACCCTGAACCCAATATCCCAATCCGAGAACCTTCCGGATCGGATTATTAGCATTGGATTCGGACATAATCGAGGGTGAAAAAAAGACGATTCAATGCTAAAATTGAAGAAAATAAATGCAGAAAAATAGAAGAAAATGAATGCAGAATTTTCAGAGAAGGAAGGTTGCAGCTACGGTGGAGACAGTGGCGGCGAAGGTGGTGGCGTTGTGAATTTCAAGTGTCATTTCATATAAAGCTGATGCCATTCTTTGCAGACACGTGTGACAATTTTGTTTTTTATTTTTTATTTTTTATTTTTCTTTTATTTTTTAATGCGCTTTACTTGTGGACTAAGCCAATTTAAATAAAGGCCTTTTATTTTAATTATTCTTTTAATATTTTTACTACAATCAATAAATAAATAAATAATATTTCCCAATTAATAAAATTCTGATCTAACTTTTGTATTTTTAATATTTTTCTTGTATTTAAACAAAAAAAAATGTTTAATAGTCAATGGATTCATTAAACATAAAGTAAATTACATACCTAATAAAATTGTTTAAATTAATAAATTTTGTAATTTAAAAAAAATATATAATGCATGAATAAGAAAATTATTAAAATTTAACATTTAATTTAGAATGAAGAAATGTTATTTTTAGTATTTGTGATTCCAATTTTTATAATTATTGTTGTTTCCATGTTTAAAAAATATTTGTGTTTTCCAATAAAATCAATAATTACTCCAGATATAAAAATAAAATTATAATGAATTTTGGATAAAATAAAATAAAAGTGTATAATATTTTTTATTTAAAAATATATATATATATATTTTTAACGGAGATATTTGTTTTTTAATATATTGGTATTATTTATATATTAGGATGGGAGATATTTGTTATAAATTTTAAGAATGATTTTTAATAATTTTTTTAATATTTTAGGAATGATTTTTAATAATTTTTTATACTCCAAAATCGGGTGCACATGTTTTGATTTTATTTTTATTTGGGCACATAAATCTAAATTATAAATAAATAGCTAACATGGTCGACTAAGCAACAATTGCTATATAAATAATATAATTGATCAGTCAACAAAGCAACAACAATTACTATATGAACAACATAATTGATCAAATATTATAAATTAATTTTATGGATATAATTTTTTTACTTATGGAATTCATTTACATTTTCGTCCTTAAAACGTCAATACGTATGAAAGATTTGATTTTATAGAAGCTTCATTTACAATATATTATCTCTCAATACTGATTAAAAAAAAAACACGAATTCCATCTTCTCAACTAAAAAATTCACACACAATGCTGTTAAAATCATAATCAAAACAATCCCTTTTCGAGCCCGGTTACGAGTTTGTTGGGTGTCGAATAAGAACATTACAAGACAAGACAAGACAAGTTGCAATAAAAAAAAAAAAAAATGTATGAACAAGAAAGAAGCTGATGACTTCAGGAATGGCAGAAGAGGAAGGAATCTAAGTGATATTTGAATTCTAAATTCACGTAACCCAAGAATACCATAAAGTTAAAAGTCCAGAAAGGAGGACAACCACTAAGAACAAATTCCTTTATAGATAAACCAAAAAAAGCTACAAAAATGGAAACAATACCAAAATTCCAATACCAATACCTTTTCGAGTTAGAACCAACAAAAAGAACAGATTCGACCCGAGAAAGTATGGAAAAGAAGGAGGGAAAAAGAAAACCTCGTATCATAGCAAGTACTTCTCGACAACAGTCCGTCCGAACTTTTCTTGAATATCTTTTGGAGTCTCGATCTGGAAAACACGACGTATGATATAATTGTTAGCATAATGATGTCTGTGGAATTGGAAGATATATTATCAATGTTAATTGCATAGCTACTAACTGCATTCAGAGCTTTGAAGAGGGCCTTCAGATTGTTGTGGGGGTTCCTTGAGCCAACAACCTGTTATTTGAACTCAAGTTAGAGGCAGTAGAGGAGGGAAGAGAGAATACATTTTATGTTGATCTCCACAACGAAGGAGATGAAGAAATTACCTTAGATTTGACATTTTTAAAACCAGCCAGATTCAGAACAGTTTGAACAGTTTTCCCTGCTTTCATACCTGTGGTAGTTGATGCTGGCCAAAGATATACCTTAACAAACACAACAACAAAAAGGAGATTTAAGAAAAGAAAGGAACCATAAGTTTCTATCAAATGACAGAAATCGATCAACTGGATATGGATCATCCAAAACTAGACAAGAGACGGTTGTCGTTGTTGTCCAGCAGCCAGTATATGCGACTCATCCGCCTTGTCCACCGCAGGTATTTAGCCCCTGATGTTTTCCAGGTGCGGAAGGGCCGGGACTCCTCGATCCGAGATAAGAACTTTAATTAGAAATGGTCGAATACCTTTGTTTTCTTGTATTCTGTCTGTACTGCATGTGCAATTGTGTGCTCCTCGTGGCGTTCCACATAATGAAGATTTTGGAAACATTTCTCATATGCCTGCTTAAGAGCATCGATACACATTAAAAATGTAAACTGAAAAATTATAAGGCAAATGCTCATTGTGGCACTCCAAGGCAATTTGATATAAAACATTTTTTCTTTTTGCTATCTCATAGAGAAAAAAGGTCGCTGATGGATCTTAAGCTAACATCGTTTATAGGCAGATAGGTGGGAAGGGGGGCTCTAATTCAGTGGGGACTCAAGAGTATTGGTCTCTGGCTCTCCTAGCTTTGCGCTCAACTGATGATTGCGCATGCCCAAGTGTCAACATTCATCAGACTGTATAAAAAAAAGCTATGATATTCTTAACCCAAACACCCCAGTTCTTGTTACCCTCTGTGACAAGAGACAGATTCTCAAACTCTTTTTTGGGAGTTATTCAAACAAACCTTGCAAAAGGACCACTTTATTTTTAACTGCTACCCCAATTTTTATCATCTCCAACAGGATCAACGATGATGATTGAAGCAACAGACATTACGGTTTCCAAAGATGCTTCATTGGAACAAATCAATAGGAATCCCACATGGATCCTAGAAGATGTGTTTGAACCTCTAAAGAGGTGCCAAACTCTTGCCCAGACAGTGAAACACACTCATGGAAGCGTAAGGAGTCATAGGGGAATCGGTTGAGCAAGTTGGTAGCAAGAGTGGATTTGGGCTCAGGTAGTTTGATTAATGCAAGTCGATTCGAGCTAAAGCTCTTAAGGTTATGGGTCAGTGGGCCTACCAAGGTATTTATTCCTATCAAAGTCAAATATCACCACGCAAATTTCCTCCCAAAGTAAAAGGAGCTTCCAACTCTTCTGTTTCCCTTTCCCTTTCTAAAATGGGACACCAGTCTAAACCTTCCAAGAAAGGGGACACTAGGCGGTGGGCATCACGACCACTCCATCTTCGATCTCCACGAACTCAATCAGGTTCTTTTTCTCCTACCCCTCACCATACTAGGGGGAAAAAGAGGAGTTTTCATCCACCCTTTTAGCCCACTTGACCTTCGACTTTTGTCTCTCCCTCCTAATTAAGACTTCAAATTAACTTTTCAGCGCAACTCTCTCGCCTCTCAAAGGCACTCGATAAACTCCTTTCCTCCTCCATTCTATGTTTTGTGAACTTTTGTAACCCATTTCATCATAACAATGAATGGCTTCGGTTCCCTATATATAATAATGATTCGAAGTACAAAATACTACCATAAATTCAATTTCTTCAATCAAAACACAATTGTAAAATTAATTTTCATTCTCTATCATTCTACAACTCAAACTTCAGGCATTTTATCAAATTCTCAAATTTCAATAAAACTAAACAAGTAAACGGAATCTACTGAATAGCACAAGCAACATGCCTTTTGTAGAGCAATTGGTACTGCAGGTCCTTTGGCTTTTGCATAACCAACAATGCCATGATAGTTCCCACAAGCCAAGAGAGCAGTGTATTTGACAACTTGCCCACCCTATATCATACAAAGTTTACAATAATCAAGTACATAATTATTTGGATAGGATATTTAGAAGGGTGGTCGCGTACCTTCGTAACTTTACAGGTTCTGTTCACATCAATTAATTTCACATCGAACCCTGCAATCAATTTGTAACAAGCAAAAGTGAGGGCGAGAGAGCCTCAACTTAGACCACACTTTCTATATCTCCTCCTCCTACAAGGGGAACAGCTTAGCTTACAGCACAGCGTGTTCTTCAAATCCCAGTGTAGAACAACAAAAGTAGATGGAAACTATCAACTGCCAAAAGAAGACGGACAATAAAGTAAAGGCATAGAAAGGATGATGGAGTAACATACTTTTCGATAAAGAGGCCTTCGTTTCTTCTCAGTTAAAGAATTTCTCTCCTCTGCGAGATCTCGGATTTCTTCTTCTAGAACCTTTCCTTTCTTTCCAAAGGTATGATCCAGCTCTGCCAGCTTCTCTTCAAGTTTCTTATCTATAGCATTAAGCTTCTCCAGTAGTATATCATCCCTTTCTTTCATGTCATCAAACTCTTCCTCATCATCATCATCAACCCCTTGTATGATTTGCTTCTCTTTTTCAAATCCTGATAGCTCCATGAGATCAACCGACGGACCTACTCGTTTGTGTTGAATGACTCCATAGTTTGCAGGATTATTTGGGTCATAAGCTTCCTTCCACTCCACTAGTCTAATAGCCCTATTTAACTTTTGCTGAAGAATGATGAACTTCCCCTTGCCATCCGCTACTTTCAAGCGGTTCATTAATTCACCAATTACCTGATATTCAGGACGAAGCCGGAAGTGTTTTTGCTCAAACTTGTCGATCTTACTCATCCATTTGAAGGCGTCATCGATGTTGTCTGTAAAAAAACAGTTGGAGACGACAGATTTTAACACAAGTCCAAAAAGTTATAAAAACGAAAACAATGGTTATATGAATTTTCTTTTGGTTAAGATGTTAAGATCGAATAATGGTATCAATTAATAGATGCTGAATTCTGCAACGTTTTCAATACATATGTTCATGCCTCATTCCATATGAAGAACGTTATAAAAAGTGTAACCCACATGTTAGTCTATTGCAATAAGTATCAAACAACGAAACAGAAACTTGAGGATGCCACTAGCTACATTTGGAGTATACAAAATTTGAATCAATATGCATTCCCAAAATCCTTCCATATACTAAAAACAAGAACAAGTAGGAAATGTTGATATGCTCCAAAATAAATGGTCATACCAGTCTCAGTGAAGTTCTTGAACAATTCCTCGTGTCTTTTGAATTTCCTCTCAAATTCATCAAACCTCTTTTTGACGGATTCAGAACTAAATCTTTCATCGTCTTCATCACTATCAGAATCAGTAGGTTCTTCATAGGCGTTCAAGTTCCCAGTGTCCTTTAACTTTTCCTTCTCGAGCTTCTCTATCAATGGCCCAACACCCATATAATCCTCCCTATCTTCATCGTCAATATCCTTGGTATCAAGACCAGCCCTTCTCCTCTGCTCCCTTTCTCTCTGCTTCTCCTTCTCCACCTCGGCGAGAAAATCTTGCACTACTCTGGCTGAAGTAGTTGAGTAACACAGCGTCGCCGGAGTCTTCGGTGTTTCCTCAAACGGGAAGCGTTGGAGAGGGGAGATTTTCCGGGAAATTTGAAGTGGAGTTTTGGTGCACGACCTGGTTGAGAAGGAGACGCGACCAAGAAAATGCTTGCGATTTGTTCACCATTTCTTTGAGTCTAAACTTCAATCACACATCTGCACTGAATCAAATGCATAAACCATTCAATTCAATCATATTCTTTTCCCAAAAACAAATGGCATTACGTTGTTGGTGTGGTGGGGTGCCGGCGACCAGCGACGGCAGCAGGTGAGAGAGAGGGAAAGAGGAAATAAGGGATGGAGGGTTGATGAGTATGGGCGCCGCTGTGAAGCAGTGGTGATACTGATCGGAGAGATTAAAGCGACCGATGGGGTGTGCGGCTGCGGCGAAGATGGGAAATGGGAAATCACGAAAACGGGTGGGGAATAATTCATCACATTATGGCGTTGAAATGTGTTGAAAGCTCGATCATAAATTAATTTTTCAAATACTTTTAAATTTTTTAGAAGTTTCGTTAAATATTTTCTTCCATTTGATCCATGGAGATGACATATGTTGTTGTGAGAATACGAGAAAGGATAGGAGTTGTTTTCCAATACTAAGTAGAATGCTTAGATGGATTTAATGTGTTAAGAAAAAAGTTTGAAAAAAATAAGGTAGAGAGATTTTCAAATGAATGGAAAACAAGGTCGTTATGCGCTATCAAGCAACAAAGTCAATACAATGGCTTAAATAACATGTAACTCTAGGTGGAAAGAATTAACGGCTAGTTGTATCTCCTGCAGTATACTTTGACTAGTAAGTTGTGTAAGATTTGAACTTCGAGGACAATATTGGCATATGCTCGAGCCTTGGATCACGTTTGAGAGAAATGTTTTTAAGCTAAAAGTGAATGAGCAACAACCATAACTTTGATAGCATATAATCTGGGTAGGAAGAATTGACAACTAACCATATTGCCTATAGTACATTTTGTGGCATTTTAGCCTCAGTCAGGCGTATACTTGATTTTGGTGGCCAGTCATACACCCCCGTATTGACACAACAAAAATAGTAAAAACCTATCTAACATGAAAGCAAGTAAAAAGGGGTTTGGAATAGGCATGCAGCCATGGACTACACGTCCTAGACAAACATGATCGTGACATCGTCTCTCACTCAATTGGTTGACATCTCTATTGATTCTTTACGAACTCAGTGATGTAGGATGAGGCTAACTTGAGGTCTCTGATGCACTTCTAGCTAATCTCAACATCTTCTAATTTTTCAGAAACGGTTGAAAACCACTTCTCAATTGGTTGAGTCTTTGCATCTTCATTGTTAAAGTCTCTTCTACTTTCTTTGCTGTGAAATTTTTCTTTGTTGTATTAGACTGTACCACCTACTTGCGCTTGGTGTCTTCTTGGTTGAGATAATAACATTTTAATTTGCTAACGTGAACAACCTAGCTAGTCCGTGTTAGATAAAAGCTATGGTTTTTCCTTATTTAAGTTATTCACTTTCAATTTTTGGTTTTTGGATATGTATAATGGAAGGGCCTATTTTTGGTGGCCATTTGGGCCATCTTTGGGTGCAATATTTGTGCCACTACTGCTAATTTTAGGATAGGATGGAGGCGCAAGAAGGCTAACTTTGGGCGCAAGAAGGGCGCGATATCATCCAGTTCGTCGGCAAAGGAGGCGAGCTCCACAAGCTGACCGATGTCTACTTCATCCCGATGCTCAAGGCTAACCTTGTGAGCCTGGGTCAACTCGATGAAGTCGGCTGCTTCATTTCCACCGAGAGTGGGCTACTCAAAATCTGCGATGTTCTACGACGACGGCTGCTCATGCAAGTTAGACGCATGACAAACCGTCTTTACATCCTGGAGTTAGAGATAGAGCAACCGATCAGCCTCTCAACCAGGACCGAAGAAGGAGCTTGGAGGTGGCACGCAAGGTACAGGCAGCTGAACTTCCCTGCTCTACAAAAACTACACAAGGGGGAGATGGTACATGGTTTACCGATAATCAAAGATGTGAACAGGCTATGCGACAGGTGTCTCATCGGTTAGCAAAGACGCACCCCCTTTCTGTCTCAAGCATCCTACCACACCAGTGAGCCATTGGAGCTCATGCATGGCGATATTTGCGGGCCCATCAAGTCGGCGACCTAAGGCAAGACCCTCTTTCTCCTGCTGGTCGATGACAAAGCCGCTTCATGTGGCTGATCCTGCTACAAGCGAAAAATGAGGCGGCAGAGACGATTAATCGCATTCAAGCGCGAGCGAAGGCCGAATGCGGTAGATGCTAATGCTGCGCACGGACAGAGGTGGAGAATTTACCTCAGCGAGCTTCAATAAGTACTGCGAAGAGCTCAACATGTAGCGGCAACTAACAACGCCATACTCCCCACAACAGAATGAGGTGGTGGAATGCCGAAATCAGACCATCGTCGAGACAGTAAGGTCATTGCTGATGACAGTCGAGATGCCTAGGAGGTTCTGGAGAGAGGCGGTAATGACGACCATCTATCTTCTCAATCGATCGCCAACGCGAAGCCTCGACGGGAAGATGCCACATGAGGCCTGGTACAATAAGAAACCAGTGGTACATCATCTCCGAGTGTCCGGCTGCGTCACATACATGAAGGTAGCACGTCTCCACCTCGCCAAACTCGATCCCCGGGGGCTGAATGTCGTCTTCATCAGCTACGAAATCAGGAGCAATGCATACAGGCTCTATGATCCTGTGGGGGGTGAGCTCACGTGTCTTGTAACGTCATCTTCGACGAAAGCACTTCTGGCAGTGGAACGATGTGACCGAGGCAGATTAAAACCCAAATCAATTCACTGTGGAGTACCTCGTCAGTGAGCCAGGAGAAGGAGGAGCGCAACATCGGGAACTGTCACTACCGCCAGTAGTTGTACCCCTTGTACCACTAGAGTTTGTAACACCACGGACTGCGGATTCAACGCTGGATGCCGATCACGATGATGATTTGATGGCCAGGTATCGGAGGATGGAAGACCTAGTGGGAGGAGGTGAACCACCTAGACTGGCGGCGCGCGAACTCGAATAGGAGGAGGCCGAACTGCATGCCATCAGCACAAATGAACCGAACACCTTCGCCGAAGTAGAAAGAAATCTATGCTGGCTGAAGGCAATGCAGGAGGAGATGACGTCCATCACTGAGAACCAGACGTGGAATCTGAAGGTCATGTCGTCGGGACACCGAGCCATAGGGATCAAATGAGTCTTCAAACTGAAGCGTAACGAAGAGGAAGAAATTGTGAAACACAAGGCCCGTCTGGTGGCGAAGGGCTACGTCCAGAAGCAAGGAGTGGATTTCGAGGAAGTATTTACGTCGGTGGCAAGACTGAAATCTGTCTGCATATTGCTGGCAATCGCGGCACATCATTCCTGGGAGATCAACCACATGGATGTGAAATCCGCGTTCCTAAACGGAGAGCTGAAGAAGACTGTCTAGTTCGACAACCACTAGGCTTCCTGGACAATGACAACCTCGACAAGGTATTGCGCCTACACAAGGCACTCTATGGGCTTCGGTAAGCACTACAAGCCTGGAACGTGAAGCTCAATAGTACGCTATTGTCGCTAAAGTTCAAGCATTGTGCCTCTAAGCATGGCATGTACACACACGGCCACGACGAGCAGCGACTAATCGTGGGAGTGTACGTCGACGACCTCATAATCACTGGAGGTGACATGGAAGTTCTCAGAAGATTCAAGAGGGAGATGTCAAATAACTTCAAGATGAGGAATCTCAGCGTACTCAACTACTGTTGTAGTATTCGGTGAGAGGAAATTGGTTGTTGGAAGAAAAATGAGTACAAAAAGGAGAGAGAGAATAACTTAATTGTGACTAGGTTCAAAATCAGATGGTTATTTATTCTCAACAAATCTCCTATTTAAAATATAAATTATTCTAAATATGGCTGGAGAGTGGCCAACTAAATCTGTGTCACTCCCTACAAAATTTTCGTCCAAAATTTTGGTGATCCATTCGACGTGTTTTGTCAAATGGTCAAACAGAGATTTTCTGAAATCGTGTGAATAAGGAAAAACTGTAAAAACTCAGGTTTTATCTAACAACTACTACCTCGGCATCGAAGTGAAACAGAGTATTGCCGGAATCACCATCTACCAAAGTGCATATGCGAAGAAGCTGCTAGACACAACTGGCCTTGTGGACAGTAACCCTACAAGGACGTCAATGGAGGCACGACTCCAACTAAGGAAGGTCGGCACTACGATGGCAGTCGACGCCACCAATTACCGCAATATTGTCGGGAGCGTGTGCTATCTGGTAAACACACGCTCTGACCTTTCTTATTCCGTTGGATACATGAGTAGATTCATGGAAGCACCTAGAGAGGAGCATCTTATGGCTGTCAAGCGCATCCTACTCTATGTGGCTGGAACTAGAGGCTGGGATGTGAGATACTGAGCCGGGAAAGGAAAGGAGAAACTTGAGCTGGTTGGCTACAGTGATAGTGACATGGTCAGTGAAGTTGATGATCATAAAAGCACCGGGATGATTTACTTCCTCTCAAGCAGCGTGATCTGCTGGCAATCAACAAAACAAAAGGTAGTTGTTTTGTCTTCTTGCGAAGCAGAATACATCGCCGCTTCGACGGCGGCAACACAGGGGGTATGGCTTGCGCGATTGATGGAAGAACTCATCGAAAGAGAAGGCGATCCACTAATGCTATACGTGGACAATAAAGCTACGACCTCCCTAATAAAAAATTCAGTTTTGCACGACCGAGGCAAGCACATAGAAATCAGATTCTACTACATCCGAGAATGTGCAAATCGGGGGCTCATTAAGATTGATTTCATCCGAATAGAGGAACAACTTGGAGACATTTTCACCAAGTCACTTGCGCGGGTAAAATTTGAAGAATTACGCTAAAAAATAGGAGTTCAAATAATAAGGTAGATATACCACAACTTTTAGGAGGAGATTGTTAGATAAAAGCTATGATTTTTCCTTATTTAGGTTATTCACATAGAATGGAAGAGCGTATTTTCTACTGGCCATTTGGGCCAACTTTGTGCGCAAGATTTGTGCCACTACAACTAATTTTAGGATTATTTAAATATGTCAACTGAAT